CTGTATCCCTGCCAGCCACGTGCCTGGGTCCTGCAGTCCTGCTGCAGTACCAGGGGTTGAGGCAGGAGCAGGGCACTGGCCACTATTGCTACGCTGTGGAAGCCCTCAGTGGCAGAAGGAAATGCACTTGCTGCCAAGCAGGCTGGGGGAAGCCAGGGAACTAATTTCAGGTGATTAAAATGAGATGTATTTATAGAGCAACTTGGCTGTTTTCATCTATCTTTATTTTTCAATCAGAAACAAAACACAGAAGTGTACCAGATTTCTGCCCTTCAGTCATATTTCCTCGCTGCCTCAGGGAAATGCAGTGGTTCTAGGGAGGGAAGCAGCAGCACAAGTGGGTTTCTTCACTTGGCAGAGTTGTGGCCTGTGGGAGCCCTCACTGCCCTTCTCAACGTTTACTTTAAATTTGCATGTGCAGCCTGCTGGAAGCCCCTGGGTTTGTGCCGAGGTGATGGGGTAAGCTCTGTACCACTGTGGCTGGGAGAGGGATGACTCAGCTTTAGGCGTTCAGTGCTGATAACAAAGTCCCCAACTTGTCAGAAACCGTGACCCAGGTGCAGTCACTGACCTTGTCAGTCTTGGGGAAGCAGATGGCTGTGTTGGGGCAGGATCACCTTTCCGTGATCATTTGTGTGCATGTCACTGGCAGAGGTTGGGGGCAGTGTTGGAGTGACCACAGATCAGAGCTTTGTGGTCAGTCTGGGGGTCCAGCAGAGCAGATGGCGCTTGCACCCCACAGGCTGCCGTTGTCTGCCCCTGTCTGGCATTTCCTGCCTTTGGGGACAACCTGTCACTGGCTTACCTGCTCCTCACAGCTGATGTCAGCGTTGAGGAATTCTCAGTGTAGGCAAGATGCTGGAGTCTAGGGGCTGTGAAATGTAAAAATTTGGTTTTTAGCAGGTGCCCACTGACCTGAACTTGGTGGGATGTGCTGCCTTGGTGTGGGCAGATTGCTCTGTAACTGTGACTGGAGTCCAGGCTTCCTCTCCATGCCAGGCTCAGCAGTGCTGTGGAGGAATTCCTGAGGGCCAGCACTTCTCTGCTGAACAAAGGCACCAGGAATGCTTGTGAGGAGTTGCTCACACAATGAGCTGGTGTGGTCTCCTTTCTGAGGACCATCACCCCTATGAGCTCCGTCATGGTGCTGCCACTGACAGTGCTGAGCAAACCCAGCAGCAAAGGCTGTGCCATGGCATGTGGCATGTGCCATGAGCCCTGCAGTGCATCTGTCTCCACAACTGGCACAGGCTCTGCCCAGCCCAGAACTCTGCTTGATCAGGGATCATCCCTCTATGTCTGCAGCCACCGAAGTCTCTGTGTAGGATTCATGTGCTCCCAGTGTCTGCCCTGTGCTTATTTCCATGTTCATGATCTACCTCTGTTTTCATCCCCATGCCACCTACATTGCCCCTTCCCTCCGTGGGAAGGGAAGTGTGCTCTGCCTGCTGCTCTTGTACCCCAGCAGAGAGCCAGGGTGCTGTGCCTGAAGGTGTCTGCATTTGATCCCAAACAATGAGTCTTCAGCAGCCGGGCCGGGAGTGTCTGTTCCTGCTGCCTGTGTGCACCATGCCGACCTCCCAGCACTGTGTTCCAAGCTGGGAGTGCCGTATGTAACCTGGCTGTCCTTGAGGGAGTCTGTGTTCTTAATTAAATTTGCTCCCTTCTTAGGAAATGGCTGATGTGACATTAGATAAGCCTAAACCCAGCTTTTCATTCCAAGGCACTCCTGGCAGCAATTCCCTTCTCTTTTTCAGCTTCCTATTTAGTTGCTTACTCAGTGAGGGGGGGAGGAGGAGGAGGAAGAGTACGTCCCCTCTGCAGAGTGGACATTGCGTAAAATTCCTTTTCCAAACCCTCTGGGCTGGTTACCAGAGGCCACATCCAGCCGTGCTTGTGAGGACCCTGTGGGACTAGCTTACCTGGGCTGGGCAGTGCTGCTGCAGAGAGGTGCCACTGCTGAGTCTGAGCTGTCACTGCTGAGGCCGTGGGATGAGTCCTGGGAGCAGCAGAGCCACTGCCAAATGGTGCTGCTGCCCTGGAGGGAGCAGATGTCCCTCTGTGGAGGTGCTGTCCAGCCCAGCCACACAGCTCTGGGGAGGGGTTTGCTGGAGGAGGTGGCTCAGGGTGTTTTCGGGTGGGGAGATGGCTGGCACAACCCCCTCCTCCAGCCTGTGGCCCCTCAGAGGCCTTTGCCGTGTCTGGCCATGGTGATTAGGGCTCACTGGCCAGGGTGAGGCAGAGCTCAGAGGGACTGGTGCTGAGATAAGGCACTATCAGGCTGGGCACACTTGGATCCCGCTGGTCAAGGAGGAAAGATTCCGAGAGAGATTTTACTTTATGCAGCTGCTTAGGAGCAAGAACTGTTTCAGTTTGATAACTTTATATGTTGGGATAAATGTGCAGGTGGGTCTCTTCAGTGCCTCTGGGCTGAGGAAATCCTTTGCAGTGATCTGCCCACGATTACAGCCACAGCTGAAGTTTGGGTACCATCTTTGCCTCCCTGAACTCACGTGAGTTAGGGTGAGAGACACAGAAGGTCCCATGGGTATGGGGTGGTGAAGCCAACTGTGAAACAAGCCCTGAGTGTTCCTGGAGCTTCCTGCAGCCTCAGCTATGCATCCCCTTTGCCCAGACCCATCCTGGCCCCTCTGTGATCCTGTCCCGAGCTCTGGGAGCAGAATGAACAATTCCTGGCAGAGCTTGGTGGAGCCTGGAGCTGAGCAGGGCTTTGATTCATGATCTAATTCTGAGGAGAGTGATTACACAGTCCCCTGTACTCTTTCTGGCAGCCAAATGCAGGCGAGAAATGGGTTATGTTCCCTGATTGTGGCGGTTCCTCAAAGCGAAGACTGGCACTGGCACCTGCAGCCCAGAAATGTCACCCTGATAACGCTGGGGAGCTGCAGTGGGCGCCTGATTGTGGAAAAAGAGCCTTCTGGTTTCAGGCCAAGCTGGCTGCAGATTGGTGTTCCTGGCCAGGTCAGGAGAGGACCTGTTCCCCTGCCCCACCTGCTTCCCCATTACCAAGTTCTGGTGTGGAGTGGCATTTGGAGGGATCATTTAGGGAATTTCTCAGACCACTTACAAGGAAGGTGTGGGAGGGCAACAGTTGGAGCAAACTTCACCCCTAATTTCCTCTCCTGTCTGCAGGGGCCTCACTGAGATAATTCCCCTGGGATCTTCCAAGGCATCTCGTTTCATGATGGAAACCCTTGATAAGGAGACATGAGCCTGCCAGGGACCAAGTTGAGATCCCTACCTGGCTCTGTGACTCTTGTTGGAGAACTGGGGCTCCCTGCCAGTCTGGGCTGTGTTCCTGGGCCTGGACAGTGCACGGGCCCTGGAAAAGACCCCCGTGTGGGGACAGCCACAGAGTCAACCTACAGGGCCTTGGGCAGCATGGCCCCCTTTCTGGCAATGCTGAGGAGTGGGCAAGGTTCTGGGCAAGGCTCACCTGAGCAAAGAGCATTGTTTAACAGAGCTGAGTCAAACCATGTTGCACCCCACAACCCAAGAGTCACCCATGGCAGGGCCAGTGCAAGCACTGCACCTGTGGCCTGTCAGTCTTGGCCTTTTGGCTCCAGTGGCCATGGGTGCCTGGTGCCCCAGCATCAGGCAGAGCCCTGCAGAGGCCAGTGCTGGACGTGGTGTTCTGCCAGCGCTGTTTGTTCACCTGGGACCATGTCCCTCACGCTCCAAGGAGTGCAGGGCTGAGTGGGGATGTGGCTGCTGCTGCCTGCTCACTGGCCAGTGCTCCTTGAGCAGCTCTTGGCAGGGAGGTATCGGTCAAACTCCTGTTGGGAAGGAGGTACCTGGTTCCTCTGGTGCGGGAGAGGAAGCTTCGGGCAGGAAGAGCTGGGTCGGGTGGGGGTAGCAGAGCAGAGATCAGCACTGTGACACAGGCAGGCCAGGAACGTTTCATTAAATCCTTGTCCCTCCCTCTTGCCAGTGGGGATTTGTGGGGAGCAGCCGTGCGGGACGTGGCCGCAGCCGAACTGCAGGTCAGCAGCCCCAGTCACCCGGCGTCACCCTGCGGGTGCCAGGTTGGCGTTCAGGAGACCGTGACTGTGTTCCCTTGTCGATCCACTCCTTAATGTTTCCGGTATCGTTGAGTAGAAACAATCTGACCTCAGGGAAAAGAAATTAGCGGTAGCCTCAATTGCTTTGTGTTTTGTGTAAACAGCCTCACCGGCAGAACAACCTTCTCCTTCAGCCTGGAGAGACAACACGCTCTTGTCCTGCTCTTGGCTCTCGCGGGGCTGACACACACCTTCGACTCTTCCTATTTGCGTGACCCTAATTTCAGGATTTCGGACCGTAGTGAACCCGAGCGGGATTGTCTGGGGCAGCGTGAGGGGGAACTCGCGTCCCGGCAGTGGGGTTCGACTGCTCTAGGACACGCTGCTCTGGGACCAGTCAGAAACTCCGAGGAAATGTTTAAACCAGGGACGTTCCTACGTCCCGGCTCCGGCTGCGTTAGTCACAGCAGCCTCGGATCCCCACCGGGGCGGCGGCAGGGAAGGGGCTGTCCTGCGGGGAGGGGACAGCAAGGAGCCCCTGGAGCAGCCGCGGCAGCGCGGATCCGGGTGGGCGCCGGGCGGTGACCCCCGGCTGGAAGGAGCCATCTCGGCATCCCGAGCGGTGCCGGGACGTGGAGCGCTCGCAGCCCGTGTCTGCAGCTGCAGCGCCGGGCGCCGTCCCGAGGCCGCTGCCCGGTGCGGGGTCGGTGCGGTGCCCCTGCCCGGTGCGGTGTCCGTGCGGGGCCGGTGGCGCAGCGCGGGCGGGGGGCGGCGGTCGCGCGGGGGCGGATCCGGGCGGGGCGGGGGCGGTGCCGCCGGGCGGAGCGGTGGCGGTGCCGGGGCCGGTGCCCGAACCGGGTCTCGGCGGTCGCTCCTGGTTGCGGGTGGCGAAGGCAGCGGGTGCGAAGCTGCGCGGGAGCAGCCGCTCCGACCGGGCTTGAGCCGATGCTGGCGGCCGAGCCCGCGGCTGCCGGAGCCATGTCCCATCCCGAGGCGGAGCGGACGGACAGCGGCTCCGCGCCGCAGCCGGAGCCGGGTCCAGGGCTCCCCGGACGGGCCCCGCACCGAAGCCGCAGCCGGCGGCCCTCGGGGCGCGATTCCCGACGTGCTTCCTCCCGCTTCAACCGGCGGAGCTCGGCCGAGCTGGAGCTGCTGGGGTACCCGGCGCCGGACGGAGTGCGCGAGGGGTCGCCGCCGCCGCCGGCCGCTGTCGGGCTCCGGGAACCCGAGGAGACGGAGAGCGAGGAGGTGGAGACGCGGGCGGTCGCCACCTCCCCCGACGGCCGGTTCCTGAAGTTCGACATCGAGATCGGCCGCGGCTCCTTCAAGACCGTCTACAAGGGGTTGGACACGGAGACCACCGTGGAGGTGGCCTGGTGCGAGCTGCAGGTACGGCCCCTGCCAGCGCCTCCGCCCTTACATGCCCCCACCCGCAGGCCCCCGCCCCGGAGCAAGGGGCTCCAGAGAGGCATTGGACCCTCTTCCGTCCGGTTTCCCTGGCGTGTGCAGCCCTCCCCGGCCCTGACCCTGCTGCCCACTGCTGCCGGCCTGGGTGCTGTGTGGGACCCGCGAGGCACCTCCCCGGGCTGGAGCCTGTGCCGGCGAGGGCAGGTACCCTCGAGCATCCGCTTCTGCCTGTCATTGTGGAGCCTCGCTGCAGTCGGGCCACAGCAGCAGGGCAGAGCAGGGACCTGGAGCTGGGTCCGGGCTCCCCTCACTACCTTGCACTGTGCCCATCACTGCCAGTGCCTCGGGGCCTCGTGGGTCTGCTGGCCCGGACCCAGACTCCTGCTTAGTGCCGCCGCTCCTGGCCCTCCTGCTCATCACGTGCTGTTTTCCATTTGCTTTCTTGCTGCCGGCACTATGAAGTATGTCAGGGTGCCCACGTTCTTGATGCCAGTCCCTGTTTTGGCACTTTACAGGTGGATCTGGGGCTGAGCATGACACTGTCTTTCTGATGCTCATCAGCACGCAGCTTTCCCTCCAGGAGGACAGCGAGGGCAGCAGTGCCCTCTCTGCATGTGCTTGCACTGGAGCTGCCTCCAAGGATTGCTCCGATAGCTCTTGGTGTGCTCTGGGGCACGTGCCTGCAGTGAGGTGGGGCTGGCTGTCAGCTGGGAGCGGGGTACGACACGACCTTGGTGCTCCCTGCCTGCTTGACCTTGGCTGAAGTAGTGTACATGGTCACCTGTGTGTGCTTTCTGTGATGCTGCCAGGGGCTCTCTGCTGGAAGCAGCTGGACCTGTGGTTCCAGGACTCTGAGGAGTGTCCCCATCTCCTCTCTGCTGCCACACTCCTTCATCTCCTTGGCTGTCCTGCAGCCTGACACCAGGATGCTGAGAGCAGTGGTGATAGTGTTGTCTCTACAATGCCTTTGCCCACTCAAGTGCTTTTGATGAGCTTGATCTTGTCCATGGAGGTGCTCAGGGAGATTTGTGCTGTGGGGCTACCTTTTCTCCTTGGAGCCCCTGGGGAGGCGCTTTGGTGAAGTCCAAAGTCTCCCACAGGCTCTGGGATGGTTGCTGTGGTGGGAAGGTCCAAGTCCTTGTTGACACAGAAAAACGTGTCTTGCGAGTTTGTTGTCTTGTTCCTAAAAGCTCAGTGCAGTTGCAGGTAGCTGCCTGGGCTAGGTCCTTGGGGTGGCTGTAGCCCAGCAGAGCAAGAGATCCTGAGAGACTGGTGGGTGGTTTCTAGAGGGACTGACTGTAGCCTTTTAGTGAGGAAGGTGAAGATTTACCTCCACCCCCATGGGTTGCACAATTGCTTCAGTTATTGAGAATTCAGAACCTGCTCAGTTCTCCTGTCCTCACAAATCCCCACAGCTCCATCCAAATGCCCCTGAGCTCTCTAGAGTCCTTATTCCTTCAGGTGCAACCACTGACTGGAACAGGCTCTCCTTGGCGAGCCCAGGACCCTCCTTGTCTGGATGAGTCAGCTGTCCCCAGTGCTTCACACTCAGCTGGCTTCGTGTCCCTCCCTGTGGGTCTCAGCCCCACGTCACAGCTGTGCCCCAGCTCGTCTGCCCTGGGGCCTGGCACACACAGCAGGGCTGGCAGCGTGTCCTGTTCCCTGCCCCCTGCTCTTCCCGGTGGCTGTGTGCAGGCAGTGCTGGTGTCTTGCGAAGGGCTGCCGAGGGGATGAGCCTGCACCATCTCAAAAAGGGGGTTGGGAAGCAAAATATTTCTGTGTCCCAATCCAGCAGGTAATGCTGGCCCCCTTGCTGCTTCTGTGAGCCAGCCAGGCAGGAGTGGCAGAAGCCACTCACTTGTCCCCTGGGGGTGGTTGTGGAGAGGCTGGGGTCCAGGCTGAGCTCCTGCCAGGGACCCTCCTGTGAGCATCCCATGGTGTTGGAAGACCTGGCAGACCTGACCCCTCTCACCCCACACCCTCCCACGGGAGTGCAGCCGGGTTCCTGCTCCCACCTTGTGCCTGCCCCTGCAACCCCTCTGCCCCAGCCCTCTCCCCTCCCCACCCAGGATTTGGCTCCATTCCACTGACTGCTCTTTATCCAGTGTCTCTTGTACCCAAATCCACGTCCCACAAGGGGCTAAGAGCACAAACGCAGACATTTAGAAGTTTGTTTTTTTCAGCAATCATGCAAAGAATTGGACACTGTGACACAAATACAGGATTTGGAACCACAAATAAAAATGGTTGTGGTTCTGCCATTTTAAAAATAGCTTTGTCCTGTGCACTTCACTGTTCTCATTCTATTGCCTTTCAGTTCCAAATGAATACTTAACCTCAGGCCTGACCTGTTCTGCACCAGAGAACCTGGTTCAGCTGCTGTGATGGATCCCAATCCCAAAACACAACTTTCCCTCCTGTCCTTGCCCTGTCCTTCCCTCCTCAGAGTCTGGTGAACTAGAGGCTGGTTTTGCCTGTCTTCTGTCTTCCTGTGAGACCCCTCTGGGGACCTGCCCATCCCCGTCCCCTCTCCTGAACGCAGCGTCTGTCTGTGCCTCCCGCCCATGTCCACAGCCCCACTGTTTGTGCTTTCCAGCTTTAGCCTGGCACTATTTCTGTCTTAGGTGCTGCGGGCGGTGGGGAAAGAGGAAGCAGGGAGGAAACCAGAGGCCCAGAGTGGGGTCGAGCTGTAAATACCTGACTGTGCGATTTTCCAGTGGAACCCCTTGGGGTTCCCCAGGGGGCAGGAGCATTCTGGGCACCAGGCACTGCTGTGCCTCCCCCGGCTCCGGTGCCCAAGTTGGGCAGGTAACCTTATCCATCAGCCTCAGGGCTGCAGGGCACCTTGTGTGTGTGCTCACATGGCTGTGAGCACACAGAAGCTCCTGCTCGGTGGGGCAGACTCCCAGGGAGAGCAGTGAGGTGCTGGCACTCACTGCTGACAGAGAGCTGGCACCTCTGGCGGGGGCTCGGGACCTCCCTGTGGCTGTGGACGTGTCTGGAGGGAGAGTGCTGGGCACTTCCCAACACTGGCTCTGTGCCCCACCGTGGTGTTGCCCTGAATGCCCCTCCAGAGTGCAAGTGTCAGTGCAGAGCCAGGGCCCTCGAGGGCTGCAGGAGCAGGACAGCTGAGGGCTGCAGGGATGGGAGAGCCCTGTGGGTGCTGCAGAGTGCACTGAGCACCACACTGCCCAGCTGGGGACAGCCTCCTGCCGCAGAGACAACAGCCATCCTCAGCCACTCAGCCACCCTCCCTTCTCCTGCACTGGCCCCGCTCCTGGTGTTGGCTGTGCTGGGCTCCTCGGCAGCCAGCTCCTGGCTCACAGGATGGGCTGGACCATTGCCACCCAGCTCCTCGTGGTCCCCATGCCACCATCCCCAGTGTCCTCCTCCACCCTGTGCTGGTGCTGTTAGGAGAGGACATGGTGTGCCCAAGCTGTGTGCCATGTCTGTGCTGGCAGCCCTGTCTGCCCTGCCCTTCTGGTGTTTCTCCAGCCAGGCCGTGGCCAGGCTGGGCTTTGATGCCCACACTCAACAGGGCGAGTATCAGCACGCACAGGAATGGGAGCTGCTGCCACTTTGGTCATGTGGAACGAACAGTGCCAAGCGAACCCAGCAGCCCTGGCACAGGCTCAGGGGACATGCTTGGCTCCCCTAGACCTTACTCCAGGCATCAGCACTCTGGGAGAGGTGGCCTTGTGCTGGGGTTCTGCCTGGAATTGAGCATGGCACAGTGAGGGCTGTGCTGGCACAACTGCTCCAGTTGGGGTGCACTCTTGCTGAGCTGGGAGAGCCGTGGGCACCCATGACTCCCCACCTGCCCCAGTTCACAGCCCGTGCCAGCTTCCTCATGCTCTTGCAGGTTTGTGGGGTGCAGTGAAGCCTCTGGACACCTCTCGGTGGGGAGGAGGGGGCCAGAGGGGTGATGGTGACTGTGGCACTGGGCAGGGAAGCTGCTGTGTGCTGCTGGCCGTGCAGGGGTTCGGGTGCTGTTTTCCTCCTTCTTATGAAAGGTCCCATTCATGCTGCTGCAGCAGGCTCAGGTTCTCATCTGGGCTGAGCCTGTCCCTGAGCGCGTATTAAATGTGGGGGGATTATGGAGCAGCTCCAGCCAAGCCATGGGGCCGCCTGTGATGCAATGAAAATATTACGAAAGCTGACTGGGTTGATGGATGGTGGCCATTGGCCAAGAGGCCGAGCACAGCTCTGGCAGCACTGGTGGTGGGAGCTCTGTGGCAGCTCCAGTTTCCTTGGCCTCTGAATGTGGGCTGGGCAGGGGTCCCAGCTTGGAGGCGCCCAGGCTCTGCAGCAGCTGAGCTCTGCAGGACCCCAGGCTGTGGTGGGGCTGTCACTGCTCCTGCTCCTGCCCAGGGCTGAGCACTCGCAGCTGGATCTGGCTCCTCTAGCTCTGGCCAGCATTTCCCTTCTTCCTGCACCCTGGGGCTGTGTCTCTTCAGGATGAGGGGGTTGTCCCCTCCGCTGGCCCCTGCCCCAGCTGCAGTCAGCACCCTCGGCTTGTGTTTCCACTTTAATTAACTCGAGCAGGAGGAACATGGAAAAACCTGGGCTGGAGCCTCCCCCGCCTGCTTTCCCCAACAAAGGCCTCATTGAGGCTGGCCCAGCACCCGGCTACACAGAGCCCAATGCTGATGGTGCCCCAGTGGGGCCAGAAGAGCCATGGCCATTGGGTCTGCACAGGGCAGGATGGCAGCAGCTTCTGCAGAGCCCCCACATGTCCCCTCCAGCTGCAGGCTGGGGTTCCCTGTCCTGAGGCAGCGTGGTGGGCTCCAGCTGGGGGCTGAGTGAGGGGAGTGGGGACGGGCAGCCCGAGCACCAGGCAATGGGGAACTGCACAGGTTCCTGGGTGCCCCATCTGTCATGTACCCACCCAGAGTGGTGGGCTGGTGGGGGACTGCAGTCTGGGGTGGCTCCAGCCCTGTGAGTGCCACTGTAGTGGGGCACAGCAGGTCTGACCCAAGCTCTGTGCTGGGGCCACAGAAGCTCCTCTGTCTTGTATGTAGGGAGTGGAGATGGGGACGTGAGGGTCTTTTGTAGCCAGGGCTCCCCCCGCCGTGCTCGGCAGGACCCCGGGTGCCCTCCTCACACCCTCACTGGCTCCCACAGACGCGGAAGCTGTCGAAGACGGAGCGGCAGCGGTTCAGTGAGGAGGTGGAGATGCTGAAGGGGCTGCAGCATCCCAACATCGTCCGCTTCTACGACTCCTGGAAGTCAACTATCAAAGGCCAGATCTGCATCGTGCTGGTCACAGAGCTCATGACGTCCGGCACCCTGAAAACGTGATTGGGGCGTGCAGGGGAGGGAACAGGGTCTCTGCTGAGATTTTGTTTGTTTCTTACCCTGTGTGGTAATCTCAGTCCGGATGGGCTTGGCATGGCAATGGGAGGAGGGTGGGCTGCAGTCAAGGCTGGGGCACGAGTCTGAGCCCTGCAGGTCTGAGTCCTGTTGGTCCCTGGCAGGTATTTGAAACGCTTTAAAGAGATGAAGCTGAAGGTGCTGCAGCGCTGGAGCCGGCAGATCCTCAAGGGTCTGCATTTCCTGCACACTCGCTCACCCCCCATCATCCACCGTGACCTCAAGTGTGACAACATCTTCATCACGGGCCCCACGGGCTCAGTCAAGATTGGGGACCTGGGCCTGGCCACACTCAAACGAGCCTCCTTTGCCAAGAGTGTCATAGGTGGGGCTGGGCTCGTGGGAGCTGTGGGGGCTGCAGGGGGGTGGGAATACCAGGGGTCCTGAGCCCTCATACATCATCCAGGCACCCCCGAGTTCATGGCGCCGGAGATGTACGAGGAGAAGTATGACGAGGCCGTGGATGTCTACGCCTTTGGGATGTGCATGCTGGAGATGGCCACCTCGGAGTACCCGTACTCGGAGTGCCAGAACGCCGCCCAGATCTACCGCAAGGTCACCTCGGTGAGGCCCCGCTCCCGGCTGCGGGTGATGCTGCTGGCTGATCCCACAGGAGGCAGGGCAAGGGGCTGGGGGGATGGGCAGTTGGAGCTGCCACACCTCGCTGCTGTCAAAATGTGCCACTGTGCAGGTAGTGTGAGTGGCTAAACATAGTCTGGGCAGTGAGGGGTTGCTCTGCCAGGCCGTGGAGCTGTGGGTGCTGGTGGTGGGGCCATGGCTTGGCCAGACCCCACATCCCTGGCTCTGCACCAGCCACTGCCAGCGTGTTAATGGGGTGGAACGGCAGCAGTCTGCTCGGTCACCCTGGCCCGGGGCACTGCAGCTGCCCTGAGCAGTCACGGCCAGCTCCTGCCAGCTCCTGCCTGTTGGGGTGGAAACTCAGAGCCCTGGGGCATCCTGGCCCGTGCAGGCACACGTGGCCTGGCCACAGGAGCCACTGCAGAGCTCAGGGGGCCCTGGGCTGGTCGTTCCCTGGGCCCTGGGAGCCCCGTGCTGCAGCAGGTTGGCACAGGAGGTGCTCACTTTTTCATTACCCCTAGGGCCTGAAGCCCAGCAGCTTCTACAAGGTGAAGGTGCCCGAGCTGAAGGAGATCATTGAAGGCTGCATCCGCATGGACAAGAACGAGAGGTGGGGGCAGAGCAGGGCCTGGGTTGCAGGGTCTCCCCTGGCCCTGAGCCCAGGCTGAGCTGTGCCCTCTGCAGGTACACCATCCAGGACCTGCTGGAGCATTCCTTCTTCCAGGAGGACACAGGGGTGCATGTGGAGCTGGCTGAGGAGGACGATGGAGTCAAGTCTGGGCTCAAGCTCTGGCTGCGCATGGATGACACAAAGAAGCTGCATGGCAAATACAAGGACAACAACGCCATCGAGTTCCTCTTTGAGCTCTACAAGGATGTGGCAGAGGAGGTGGCTCAGGAGATGGTGGGTACAGAGTTGAGGGAGCCCTGGGCGCTGTGGGGTCCCTACACTCTGCAGTGACAAGCTCCCTCCTGTGCAGGTGGTCCTGGGCTTTGTCTGTGAGGCCGACTACAAGCTGGTGGCCAAGGCTGTGCGGGACCGTGTGGTGGCCATCAAGCGCAAGCGGGAGAAGCTGAAGCGTGTCCAGGGCGCCCCATCACCTGCAGAGCCAGAGCAGCCACCAGGTGTCCTGAGGATGCTGGAGGAGCTGAAGTCCCCGCTGCCACCTGGTGCCCCCACACCTGCCCTGGCCACCCCTGGCTCTGGGGACTCTGCCTTCAGCAGCACCTTCCCCCTGGAGCCTGAGGAGCCCGAAGCTGACCAGCATCAGCACTTTACCTACCGGCACACCAGCTACTCCTCAGCCACCTGTGCGTAGGCACCAAGGGGTAACAGCCGGGTGGGCAGAGGGGACCTGGGGCAGGAGGCAGGTGGGGGGTCTGTCAGGTTCTCCCAGCCCCACAGCCCTTTCCCAGCTGCCCAGCCAAGGAAGGAACTGGCTCTGGTTCATGCCAGCACTCCTCCACAGCTGACTGTGAGACAGATGGGTACCTGAGCTCCTCTGGCTTCCTGGACTCGCCGGACCTGGCCCATCGCAGCTTTGTGGGCGTGGACCCCACCAGCCCACCTCCCACGCGGCCCGTGCGCTGCTTCCCCACGGTGAGCACGGCCCCAGGGGCGGGGGGGTCAGGGCAGCCGTGGCACCGGCTCACCCCGTCCTCTCCCTGCAGAGCATCGCGGTGCAGCTGCCCACGGAGCATTTGCCCCCTGCCAGTGGCTTCTCCTCCTCGGTGGACAGGTGAGGCTGGGGGGTCGGGCAGGGGCTGGGCAGGGAGTGTGGTACTTGGGAATGGCCATGCTGATGCTCTGGAGCTGGGGCTTCCTGCAGCTACACCTCAGATGTGGCATCGGGCATGAGTGATGGCTATGAGGGGCTCTCAGCCAGCGAGCAGAGCACCAAGCTGCCGCCCAAGCGAGCCTCGGGGAAGCTGCTGCGGCGTCGAGCCCGCTCCAGGCTGCGCATCACCAACGTGAGTGCCACAAATGCCAGGCAGGTGCCAGGCGGGTGCCAGGTGGGTTCTCCTGGGCTGAGCCAGCCCTGCTGCCCACAGATCTCTGACAAGAACGACCGAGTGGTGGAGTGCCAGCTGCAGACCTACAACAACAAGATGGTGACCTTCAAGTTCGACCTGGATGGGGACAACCCGGAGGAAATTGCAGCCGCCATGGTGAGAGCAGGGTGAGGGTGAAGGTGGGGTCTGCCTGACTGGGCTGGGTACTGACTGGCCCCTCCACCCTCAGGTCCACAATGAGTTCATCCTCAAGTCGGAGCGAGACAGCTTCATCAGCCGTATCCGGGACATCATCCACCGCGTGGAGACCCTGCTCCGCAAGGACGGGCGCGGTGGCACCGAGCTGCCCAAGGGCCCCGAGGCTGAGAGTGCTGTGGGCAGCCCCGTGAGTGCCAGCCTGGCCCTGCCAGCGCTGGGGAAGCTGCTGCTGCTGAGCATGGCTTGGGATGCTGCCTGGCCCCAAGGAGTCCAGGGGGGAGGGGGGCCTGGGGTGCAGGGTCCTCCTGTGGTCACTTGCCCGCTCCTGTGACAAGACAAGGTGCTCCCCAGCTCAGAAGAGTCTCCAGCTCCTGTCCGCACAGGTGGTGGGTCCAGGGTGGGGCCCAGCAGGGGCTTGGCACAGCCTGGCTGGGGCCTCTGCCCCAGTGCTGGGCTCAGCTCATCCTTCTCACAGGTGGACCTGCAGCTGCAGGGGCTCTCGCGCTCCATCTCTTCCTCATCCTCACTCAGTGGTATGTTTGTGCCCCTGTGCAGGCCCTTCCTATCTCCCCAAGCCCCATGCAGGGCAGGTGACAGCCAAGCCCAGAGGGTCTCAAAGGATATGTCCTGCCCTGGCTGAACCTGGCTGTCACCCCTATGCCACAGACCTGAGCTGCACCAGTCCCAGCCTCTCTGTCCAGTCCCCTGTCCTGCCGATGCTGAGCCGCTCCCCATCAGAGACCAACCTGGCCAGTCCTGTGGAGCCACTGGCAGCCCCGGTGCCACTAGGGTCCCCCACAGGTACCAGTGCTGACAGAGTGGGCATGTTCATTGCACTGGGGCTGCCAGCTGCTCGCTGGTTTCAAGCTCTGGGTGCCTGGGCCCAGATGGCCCAGATAGCCCTGGAGGGCTGGTCCTGATGCTTCTTTCCCTGCAGGTTCGGTGCAGACCTGGCCCCTCGTCTCGATGGCTCCCTCCTGGCTCACGTCATCACCAGCACTGACACCAACACTGACTCCCCAGAGTACCCCAGGGGGGCCTGTCCCCACGGCCCTACCCCAAGCCCTCCTGTCCCCACAGCCTCTCCCCACATCCCCTGTTCCCTGTGAGCCCAGCAGTCCTCTGAGCCCCCCTGTGACCAGCACACCCTTGTCCCCCACCACCCCCCTCTTGTCCCTGGCCAATGTCTTCTCCCTGGCAGTGATGACCGTGGCCCACACTGTCTCCTCCATTGCCAGCTCAGGTGGGCAGCTCTACCCAGCACTGCTGCCACGGCCACAGAGTCTTGTCCTGGGTGCCCCACGCTTTGTGTACCCTGACCCCACCAGCACAGACAAGCCAGTCCCACCTGGCAGTGGGATCCTGCAGTCAGTGGGAGCTGATGTCCCCACTGCTGGGGTGCCCATATCCTCCCTTCCCTTGGCACCAGCCTCAATGTGCCCCACAGGCAGCGAGGCTGTGGGGAGCCCTCTGCAGTTGCCAAGCACATCCACATCTGGGAGTCCAGAGGGCAGCACGGTGAGTGTGGGTGTACAAGGGCAATCCAGGGCTGCTCCAGGTGGAGCTCAGTGTCAGGAGGGCTGTGTGGTTGCAGCAGATGCTGCACTGGGATGGGATGGAGCCTCATGGCTTGTGGAGCCACTGGGATGCAGATCCCAGGACACAGAGGGGAGGACAGGAGATGTGGTGGGAGCTGGGGTGGGGCTGCTGATGGTAATCTGGTGCCCACAGGTGCTGCCCAGTGCCCCCAAACCCAGCCACTCTCTGATCATCTCGGAGGCACCAGCCCCCAGTGTGCCCAAGGCTCAGCTCTCCCCCATCAATGAAGGTAAGGTGGGGCAGGGCCAAGGCTGTGCCGTGTGCCTGTGCCTGTGCCAGGGCACCGCAGTGCCCCGGCCAGCCCATGTGCCCTGAACCCCACCAGCTGCCCTTGTCCCCAGCAGAAGCCAAGCCCCAGGTCCTGGGCCGGTTCCAGGTGATACCAGCCAAGGACCTGCCTGTGACCTCTGCGGTGCTGGGGAGCAGTGACGGAGAGCAGCACAGCACGGAGCCAGCAGCAAGTGGCTCCCCACCACCTGTGGTCCCTGACATAAGCCACAGCTCGAGCAGTGACTCGGATGCAGCACTGGAGGCAGAGAAGCGAGAACCCAAGGCTGAGGAGGTGGCAGCCGAGGGGGGCACGGTGCCTGCGGTGTCAGTGGGGAGCGACCCAGGGGAGGGCCCTGGGGAAGAGAGCACAGAAAATGTGCCACAGGCCATGCTGAGCCAGGTGTGGATGAGCTACTCTCGCAGCTTGTCCTATGTGAGCAGCGATGACACCGAGAGTGAGGACGAGGAGATCTGGGAGGAGCTGCAGAACCTGCGCCAGAAGTGAGGAAGGGGGTGGGCTGCACCTGGGAGGCGACAGGTCTTCCAACCCAGCCCTGGGAGTTCGCTGTCCCTTCCCTGAGCCCGCACTACCAGCCCCTGTCTTCTCCCCAGGCACCTGGCTGAGGTGCAGCTACTGCAGAGCGCCCAGAAGAAGGAGATCGAGGAGCTGTACCTGCGGATGGGGAAGCAGCCACCGCCGGGCATCGTCTCGCCTGCAGCGATGCTGTCCAGCCGCCAGCGCCGCCTCTCCAAGGGCAGCTTTAACCCCTCCCGTCGCAACAGCCTGCAGCGCCTGGAGCTGGCGCAGCCCGCAGGTGCCAGCCCCGCTCCCCACTCCTTCCAGGGTACTCGGGCTGGGTGTGGGCTGCAGGACAGCGACCCCCGGGCTGAGCTGCACAGCCCCGTGCGCTCACTCAGCGCCACTGTCCCCGCAGGCATCATGCGCCGGAACTCGCTGAGCGGCAGCAGCACCGGCTCGCAGGAGCAGCGGCTCAACAAGGGGGTGACCTTCGCCGACGACCTCGGGCGCGTGGTAAGGGGCAGGGCCGGAGCCCATGGCGTTCCCGGCTGACCCTGTGGCACTCGGCTCACGGCTGCTTCTCTCCCCAGTAGCTGGCTGGCCAAGAATGATTCCAGAACTACCTCATCCAAGTGCCTGCTGCCCCGGGGCGGGGAGACTCCCTGCGCCTCCGGGGGGCAGTGTCAGCCCTGAGAGCCCGGCTTCCCTGCTCCCCTTGGCTGTAGCCTGCAGCAGGGAAGCCGTAGGATTCGCAGGAGCGGGAGCCCTGGCCTAGTGCAGGCCTGTCCCACAGGTGTCTGCCCGCTGTCCCCAGCCCCTTTGCTGGAGGACATGTACGACATGTCTCCACCCTTCGTGGCTGGAAGGAGCTGAGCCCGCCCTGAGGACCCCCGGCTTGTCCCAGCCCTGCAACACCTCAGCCCTGCACCGGACCCCGCCCACCCTGCGGAGTGGCCTGAGCTCCCTGCGGCCCTGCCTGCACCAGAAGCAGCAGGATCCGGGAGCATTTTGTTATGAACTGGTGTTGGGAAAGTGTTTTCATAAACATGGATTGAATACAAACTGTGTCTGCGTGTATCTGTTGGGCAGGACGTGTGGCTGCTTGCCTCACTGTGTGACGATAAAGAGCAAAACAGAACATCCCCCGCAGCAGCCCCTGAGCAGGGCGAGATCCTGAGCGGGGCTCAGCCCAAGAGATGCTTGACAATGGGCACTGACACGGTCTCCAGTGAGAGGGTTTATTGTGGGGAGTGGTGGGACCTGGGCGTCTCTGGCCTTCCCATGGGCACGGTCCCGACAAAGGCCCCGGGGCGGGGTCTGCCCGCGGGGGGGCCCTGCCTGCGGGGAGCCCCCGGGGCCTTCTGGCCAAAGCAGAGCAAGGGACAGACCCCGAACCCCTCAGGCGTATCTGTCTCGAGGCCCGTCCTGTCTGGTGACGGCAGCAGCTCAGTCACGGGCCGGGCCGGGCCGAGCCGAGCGCTCCCCGCTCAGCTTGCGGCGCCCTCGGCTCGCGCCCGGGCCCGAGCCCGCGCCGCCTCCGCCTCCTGCTCCAGCTCGTCCAGGAACCGCTCCTGCGACACCGAGTAGAAGGTGTAACCGTCTGTGAGGGGAATTAAGGAAACGCTGCGGGCCCGGCCCCGGAGCCCCCCCGGACCCGCCCTGCCCCGGCCCCAAAGGATACAGATGCCAAATGTCACTGCGCCGATACCGAGCGCCAGCAGCACGTTGCGGCTGCGGAGCCGGCGCTGCAGGGCGCGCTGGCGCTGGGCGTACTCCAGCTGCGCCATGAGGCGGCGCTGCTCGGGGCTGAGTCCCGGCTCCCGGGACGGGTCGATGCGCCGCGCGAACGCTGCCTCCCCCGGCTCCCCGGGCGCCGCCATCTTTCCCCGCCGTTTCCGCTCGGCAACGTGACGCCACATCCGGCGGGAGCACTGGCCAATCGGAGGGCCCGAGCGGCGCGCGGCGTCGAATGGTTGGCTGAGACCCAGCGCGTGCCGGTCGCGACCCCTGATGATTGGCGGAGCGGAGTCATGTGACTGGAGGCGCTGGGGCGCTGCTCCGTCCGGGCCCGGACCTCCGACCCGGCTGCGACCCCGGCCCTGCCCGATCCCCGGCCCTGCCCGATCCCCGGCCCTGCCCGCACCCCCGGCCTTGCCCGCACCTCCGGCCCTGCCCGCACCCCCGGCCCTGCCCGCACCCCCGGCTCTGTCCGCACCCCTGGCCATACCCGAGCTCCCTGCCCTGCCTGAGCCCCTGGCCCTGCCCACACCCCCGGCCCTGCCCGAGCTTCCGGCCTTGCCCGCATCCCCAGCCTTGCCCGAGCTCCCGGCCCTGCCCGCCAACCGCACCGAGCGGCCGTCCCACCCCAGTGCCGTCTCCGGGCGGCCGGGAGTCAGCGCTGCTGGGAGGAGGTGGCGGAGCCCTGTCCTGGTCTCTCCCCGAGGGGTTGGTGGAATCATTGTCATTACGGCTTCGGCCGTGACTCGGTAAATGGGGTCTCAGGTGCCACTGGAACCCCGGGGCCGTGACTCAGGCCCCTTGTTCAGTGGGGTTGCTCCTGAAATTATCGAGGACACACTGATCCACTTGGCCACGGAGAATGAGCAGTACTTGAGTGAGCTGCCCGAGCATGCTGGGTACTTCAAAGATACACGGATCGTGGGTGAGACTTAGCTACAGCATCTCCTGGGGCAGATGACAGCTGTACAGTGAGCTTCAGGAGACTGAAATGAGTGACTGCTGTGCTTTTTGCAGAGTTTATCTTCCTTTTGTCTGAAAAATGGCGCTTGGACCAATCCACACGGTACCAGGCAGTGGAGTTACTTGAACGGTAATGAATCCTAAACACACAGTACATTTCCCATTCTCTGATGGGGTTATATTGCCCATGCCCTGTCCCACTCTGTTCCCCCCACCCTAACCACACGACTAATGTGCGTGTTGAGGGCTTTGTCTCTTCATTCACCTAATCCGAATTATTAGTTCTACATATAGTCTTAAGTATACATGAAATTGCCTTTCTTCCTCTCATCTGACAGAACTGTTCTCTGAGTAATTGTGGGTTTTGTAGGTTTATGATCAAGCAGGTAGAGCAGATGTGCAATGACAGAGGGAACGCTAAAGGTCGTGACCAAGGGCAGAGGAGCAGCTGGAGCTCTGTGAGGGATCAGATAACCAACACCTTTGTCCTGCGCCTCGTGTCGTGTGTTCAGCTCGCCAGCAAACTCTCTCTGCACTACAGTGTAAGCCAGCTCAGCCTGTCCTTGCTTTAGCAGCGTGCTATCTGCAGTGTATTAATCTCTCTTAAAAATAGATTTCCTTTTTAAAAGACAGTAGTGATAATGAAATGCCAAGGACACGACATTCCCTTTAGGGCAGGCAAATTGCTGCTCGTCCAATAACAATTTGCTGGGAAATGTTCCCAGTCTGGGGGAAAAAAATTGCAGGAAAATCTCGGCCTATGGTTGTCAAAAATTGTGTGTCCACAGGGGTTCACACCTGCCTGGAGATGGTTTATTGAGTCAAGGAAACCTGTGGGAAAGGTCAGAGCTGGATTTCCTGTGCCAGCTCAAAGGACAGGCGGGTGAGCTGCAGCCTCATGCTCGGCAGGAGAGAGGTGATAGAGCACTTTGTTCCTACCGACTGCCTTACTGCCTGGAAGACGTTTTGTCTCTTTTTTTCCTCTTCAGAGAGTGACCAGTGACACAGCTTTAAAATTTCTGCAGTCCTTAAAATACTCCTACACTAAACAGGAATTGCTGGAGTCAGAGCTTGCTGTTTTAAACACTCTGCACTTCCACATCAATGTGTCAACTCCGTTGGCCTACGTGGAATTGCTTCTGGAGGTTCTAGGTGAGAGTATCAGTCAGAAAGAATGAGAAGGAAGATTTTTAGTAGGGTCATAGAGCTGCTGCTGGTCTGAACCAAAATGTCTCAGATTTTTGCACGTGGAACTCTTCAACTGTCCAGGGCTTCACCTTTTAGATGAGAACTTTGTCCTTCGTAGAATGTGATGAATGGTGTTGGACAGCCAGTCATGACTCATTCAATAAAAGATAAAGAGTTTAAAGCCCCCAAAGGTAGTGCCAGGCCACATTTTCTACAATCACTCACCATTTTCTTGGCCCAGGTCTGATGGCCTGAATTTTAGAGTGAAATTATATTGAGGCTGTGGGATCCTGTGGCATTCAGAGACAGGGCAGCTGTCCTCAGAATTCTCTCTCCCTTTTGGTGCCTAAGACTTGTAATTCAATTTAGTGACCCAAAATGTGGGACTGATGGTATGATCTCTGCCAGGATACAATGGCTGCTTGCTTCCTGCCAAACCCTTACACCAGCTGTGTGTGCAGCTGCTGGACTTCTGCTACCTGACCAGAGAGACCATCTATGACACTCTGCTGAAGATCGCCATTGAAAATTCCACACCAAGCAAACTGCAGATGTAAGGGCCTTGCCTGACAATGACTTAACCCTTTGAAATTAAAACCCTTAAAAAGGCTAATAAATAGCAGCATAACTCTCATTATGCCATTTTGGGGGCATGTTTTAAAAAATAACCACTTTGGGGGGCATTCATCATTATTTCTGAATATACTGGTTCAAAGCAATGTGCTTTTCCACAGCTGCTTCACAGGCAAGGAAAATGTTTCACTTGGTTGTTAAAATTCAGCCTTGCACTGTCAGCTCCAACTTTGGGAGCTTTGGTTGGCCTGAATAAGCCAACATATCCTGGGCATTGGCAACTACAGCAGCAGGTGCTTTTGAACTGTGAAGCAGCATTTTACACCTGAACAAACTTTTCCGTCTGCAGAGCCAAGTTTTTAACAGTGAAGGAAGATTTCATGCTCTTGGCTGTTGGAGTCATCAGTACAGGTGTGTTCATCCTGAGCCCTGGGCACTGGGAGCAGGTACAGTCGCTGCTGAACACGTGGGCTCTACGGGAACACAAGTAGTTTGTCTGTCTCAGCACAGCAAGTGGGGCTGCACTGGGAGTGCCATGAGGGAGGGGACAGCACTGTCTTTTTAGCAGGAAGCATGTGGGCTTGTCAGAGCTGAGGGCATGGGGCAGTTCTGTGTGCAGTGTGTGCTGGCACTGGTGAGTGTCCTCACCTTCACAGCCAGAACAAAATCCCACAGGCAATGTTCCACTGGCAGGTAGAGAAGCAATCTCATGGGGACAACTCCCTGTGAAATGTGCCCATGGAGCAGTTACTCGTCTGTAAACTCACAAGCTTTAGGTGCTGTATCTTTTCTTTTTTCCAGGTTGTGGAGCATTTAAACTGCATCACTGGCATTTCTCCAGAAAGTATCCTGGAGTTCTCCTATGCTGTGGTGAGGCGCATAGTTGGCAGCACCACACCCAAGCAGCACCGTGGGAACTGTGGAACCAAATCTCCCGCGGACAGAATTCTGCCTCAGAAATAGAACCACCCTGTCCATCCAGTCACTGCCTCAGCAGCAGGAACTGTCATGCTGCTGACAACTGTGACACTGCCCAGGCACCCAGCACAGCTCAGGGTTACCTGAATTCTGGAACAGCCCATCATGTTAATTAGCAAAGCTCATCCTGCTAGGCATCACACTCATGCTCTGAAGGCAAGTCCAAGAGCACCATAGTGTTTAGAAATGCCCCAAAAGCTTTATTGTAAGAGCTGCATCTTTTAAGTTTTGAATCTAAGTTCCCTTTAACCAAAGAGACCCCTCAGTGCAGTTTTGTTTGTCCAGGCCATGCCTGGAGCTCATCTGGGACCGGGATCACTGGGACCAGCTCTCACACCCCTGTTACAAATGGGGCTGTGCTGTGTCCTCTTGCTGCTTTTATAAAATTCCTGTCTCAGCTGCCTGTGATGGTCCCCTCTGTGCCAGCACTTGGAGCCTGTTTGCTCTTGCCTCACCACAGCCAGTGGTGACCAGTGTGGTGATGAGGACAGAATCAGGCCAGTGCTGTGATGCCACCCAGCAGTGCCCAGGCTGGGTGTCCCTGTGAGTGCCAGGGGTTTGTGCTGTGCCAGGCACTGCTGGCTGGAAACACCAGCCACTGTTTCCTTAGTGCAGGAACAGGCTGCAGGAGGGATTACAGTGTTGTAATGGTATCAAACCTTGTTCAGTAGCACAAAGAAGTGCTGATATCACTTCAAAATGAAGTATTTTCTAACTGTAGTTACTGGCAGTTTTTTCACCTTTTCCCCTGGGTTTGTAACCTTTTGCTTTTCCAACCCTGCATCAGCTGTAACAGAGCAGCATCAAACTGATGAGTGTTCTTTTGTTTGACAATTATTTACGTCCATGGCCATAAATGCCAAAAATAACAGTTTAGAATCCATTTAATAGCTGGGTTTTATTCTGTTCGACTCAGTGATACAACTTTGCATATTGCTTTTCTATAAACTGCTTGTAATAATGGTATTTTAAATAAAGTGTCTTGTGGATTTTTGGTATTGTAAACATTTTGTACTGGTTAATATTAAGAGATATCTGAATTTGCCTTTCTCCAACACAATGCAGACACTCCAGTTGCCAGGCCAAGTTCTTACCACAGTTACTTGTTATAGAATTGGGATGAGACCCAGGCAAGGCCCCACTTCAGGTTAGTTAACATGAATTTTAGTGCTTTTGTCCATTGCTCTTCAGAGTTAAATTGTGTTTTAATTGAGTAAGAGCCACCACTGCCACCTGTGTCTTCAATCTTTCCTTTCTCCACGTCCATCCTGTATCACACACAAGCTTTAATTAGTCCACTCCTACTGCAAACATTTAATCTCAGTATGATACCAAGCACTAAATTTTAAATCTGACAATAATACTATGCTGTTTTTAAAGGGACTTGAGCAAGCCTCAGGATTCCACCCAAGGGGCTGGCTTTAAGTTTCAATGAAATTAGCAAACACACATCACAATTCCAGATGATTTCTGAAACAGGACTGAAACAGCAAGCAGTGCTAGGGGGAGCATACAGGGCTGAATTTGACAGTTAGGTGGCAACACTCACCTGTAAGGCAAACAAAACCGAGTTTCACCTTTTTCCACTTCCTCTTTAAACTGTTGCACACAGTCCAGGAATGCCACCATGGCATGATCAAATTTGTTGTCCCAGAAGAACCTCAGGCCTCCAGAGCAGTACAGGGGAAGCTCCTGGAAAAGAGATTTGTATCAGACACCCCAAGCACTTGTTTTTGATATGGTCACTGCAGCTTTTTAACCTCACGTGAGGCTGAAATTTGTCATGAGGTGCTGAGAAATGGCTTGTGACACAGAGCAAGTGTGACTGGCTTTGTGCATGTGCCCACCACATGCAGGCATGTGTTCCTGACTTCCACCAATCCCAAATCATGCTATCTACCTGCCAATCACACCAAAGCATGTCTCTGCCTCTGGCCAGGTGTGTCATTCAACAGTTCTGGCTGGCTGGCAGCACCAGTGGCTTCATACAGGATGTGGTGTGAGATTTTACCATGCTGGAGGAGCTGGAGCAGCCAGCTTTCCTGGACTCCATACTCACAGAGACTAAGTTTTGTTTCCTGCATGCATCCCCAATGTGACCAGGGCTCTGGCACTCAAGGTCAACATCCCATGATTTGTATGGGATCTCTTACCTTGGATTTGTCCGTGAGGGACTCCAAATAGGAGTGGTTGCCATAGGGGACAAGACGGTATCTGAAAAAAGGAGACAGAATTCACAGGCACCTGAGTCTGCCTGTCTTCCTCTGGGTCACAAATGAACTGTGTGTGATACTGCAGGTACCTCTGAAACTTTAGGCCCATTTTGTTGGCCAGGGCATGCAGCAGCAGCACAGTCTGCCCCCAGGCAGCATTGATCTCATTCCATTCCACAGGAACACTGGGGAGACGGCCAAGCCTGAAGTTATTTATTGTGCCAAACTGCCCACTGTGCCTGTGATAAGAAGAATTATAAATAAGTGTGCTAGGCTGGGAAAAGCTCCTGGCCTGATAACCAAATAAGGGTCATGTCCCAACAGCACAGTACACACAGTCCCAGCCATGCACACAAAGGATTTGGGCCTATTCTTAACAAGCCTATGTAAATACCAAGTACTTGTTCTTTTTTTGTCATAAAAACACAACAAAACCCCATAGCCAGCCCCTCTAAGCTACCTGCTCTGTGAACCCTGATGCCAGTGTCACTGCTGGCTGGCACAGGGGTTCCCAAAGTATTACTGGGACTGGTGAAGGAGGAATTTCCCAGTCCCAGAGCCCAGCACACCTTACTCAGCTGCCACTCCTGGGAGGTGGCATTCATTGCTCTGCTGGGAGGTAACTGTGAGCTGGCTTGCACCTTTCCTGTCAAATGCAGTGACTTAACAGCCTCACACTGCAGATTCCAAGAAAATGGATATAATATTCCAGTGTCCACGTTACCAGATGTGAAACGTTGCGTTGAACACGTTGGTTTTCTTTAATTTATCCAATTGCATCTGAGCATAGCGCATTTGGTTATCCACACTTTTCAACTCATCGTCCAGCTCCAGCTGTTGCCTCTTGAATTCACAGTATTCTTTCTGATACCTTTGAGTAAAAGCAAGACAAGACGTGCTGAGTGCTGGCTTCTACATCAGAGTGACAGCTCTGCGGGCCAGCTTGGTCTCGCCACCTTTACTTCTGCCACTGGCATTTGGGCACATTTACAGGTTTCTCATGTTACAACCTCATTTATCTGCTGCCTCCACCCCCTGCCACAAGCTGCAGGCAGAGTTCACTCACTGAGCCTCCTCCTGCTCCAGCCGCTCAGCCTCTGCCCTGACTCTCTCGAAGTCCTCAGCCACAATCTTGCGGTTCTTCTCAACATCCTCCAGCTCCTGAATCAGCTGCTCTTCCTCCAGTGCCAGTTCTTTCAGTTCTGTCTGCAGCTTCTCTTTATCATCCTCATTCATCTGTTCCAGTATCTCCAGACATCTCCTAAAGCAGAACAGCAGGATTACCAAAACAGGTATCCCTAGGAAGTCCTGCATTGCCAGTCCCCAGTTCTGTGGCAGCCCCTGCACCTCTTGTCAGCCCCGAGCTCTCCATGCTGATTGTGTCTCAAGCTACAGCAGCTCTGTCTTGGGTCATCTCTGGATCACTCACTTGTAGTTCTGGCACTCGTTCTCTGTGATGTTGAGCTGTGTGTCCAGCTGGTCCAGCAGAGTGTCTGTGCATTCCTCACACAGTGGGTGATCCACATCCGTCTGCCCAGACATGATGTCAAAGAGGTCGCCAGTGACCTGGAGGAAGGGCTCACATTAGTGCAAGGAAAACCACAGGCCTGCTGGTTTTCAGTTAGCAGAAGTCTTCTTTGCAGGTCAAATATTGATTAAAATAATCTATATCTCTGCTCAACTACTCACCAACCAAGCCCTTGGAAGACAAACACTATGGGAAACTTTGCAGTTTAGTTTTGCAGAGCATCAGGAAAAAATGATGCTCTGTTCCCAAGGATCTGAGTTTACCAGCTCGTGACCCACTTGCCTTCAGTCTCCGGCTGAGGTTTTCCATGGTGCCACCATCCGAGGCCTCTCCGATCAGCGTGAAACTGTTGGCACTTTCTGTTGACATCATTCTTGGAAAGAATGTTACTGAGATGAGTGCTAAGTGCTGAGGGGAGGCAGCTCAAGCACCAGACCAGAACCTGGGGCTGAATCAGTTAAAAGAGAGGGCAGGAGGCTGGGGCAACCCATGTTTTAGGAGCTCTGTCGGGTTTATGCTGACCCACAGCTAAGGAGTAATGCCCCAAGGACTGTGCTAAAACTGACAAGGAGCCCGAAGGCCACGGGGATCCTGCAGGGGAAACTCTAGGGGGTCACACGAGCTATTCAGTGTATCCTCCCGTCATGGGGGGAACTTTCTCAGGCGCTGCCACAGCGTTGGCTCAAGCTGCCCGGAGAGAGAGGCTGGGTTCCAAGATGGGCCAGGCCTGACAGGAATGCGGCACCGGCTGTACCTGGCTGGTGGGATAAACCTCCTGGACACGCCATCCTGCCGGTTCTCCACGAAGGCTTCCTGAAGGCAAGGAGACATCGTTACCGGAAGTCCCGGGGGAGCTGCCGCCGCGCCCGGCCCCGCCGTACCTCCGTGAGGGCGCTCTCCTCTTCGTGCAGGTCTCCGGGTCTGGCAGGGGCGGCGGTCACCAGCGGGGCTGTAGGAGAGAAGGCGTCAGCCAGGCCCAGGCCTAGGCCTAGGCCCGGGCCCCTGCCCCCCACTCCACCGCGCCGCGCCGCGGTACCGGTGAGCTCCTGGATGGTGAGGCGGTCAAGGACCTTGAAGGAGGTGTCGAGCTTGAGCGGCTGGCAGCAGCGCTGGCACACGAAGCTGACGTGCGCGGTGCCGCCGCCCGCCCGCGCTCCCTCCATCGCGCCGCCCGCGCGCGCCCCGCCATCTCCGCGCGCCGGACGTGACGCAGGTGGGGCGCGGTCCTGGCAGGGGTGCGCGGGCCGCCCGCGCCATTTTCTGCGTCCCCGCCCCGGGCGGCGCTGAGCGGCCAGGACCCGGCGGCGCGTGCGCGCG